ATGGGTATGTGGCAGCACGTCGAACTGTCTAGAGAGACTAAAAAGGAAAAGATAGCCAACCCAGTAGGGAAAATGAAGAAGTGTGAATTTGAACAGATATGGTAGTAAGACATAGGTTTTATACTGTCAGATTGGCTAAAAATGAACAAATAGCAAGTATAGAACACGATACAGAGGAACGGGAATAGTTGGCCACTACAGGGTGTGTATGTGTGTCTAAAGTGCTCTGGTATTTCTGCAAAACAATATGAAAATAATGAGATTGAATCTGTCCACATCCTATAACCCAGTGTTCCCACTGGTGGGTGCTAGTCCAGAGGGACTCTCCAACAGCACCATGAGGAGCTGAGCACCAGGATGCCCATCACAGCACTGTTGGCGAGTCGGGACTTGGGGGTGACATTAAGGGACTGAAAAAGTGGAATGGGAACCCCAGCAGCCATTAGAAGCAATGAACTAGATACACAGCAGCATAGAGGTTAAAAACATAGTGTTAAGGAAGAGGAGAAGCAGGGGAAGAAGGGAAGTTATAGCATAGTCACTTTTATGTAAATTAAGACACAAAACAATGTTTTGCAGATATATACATATTCTATTTCTATATTCTATATTAAACATATTGGAGTGGGTGCCTCAGAAAGGAAGGAGATTGGTGATTACGCGCAAAGGGGAAAATATTATAAATCTAGAAGCTGAGAGGCATCACAGCGTATATCCAGAGTTAACAGCAGGGACTCCAGAGCCTGGGTCTGAACCTCAACTCTGCCCCTTACCCTCTCCATTACCTTGGGCAAGTAACTTAACCTCTCTTTTTAAACTTCCCCATCCATTAAAAGGGTCTGGTAGCTAATCTCCACAGATGGCCCCAAACAATTCTGCTTCTCCCTGTGTGTGCAAGCGGCTCCTCCCATCAGGAAGCAGTGCGTGTGACTGCTTTGACCCACAGGATGTGAGGAAGTGATGCTGCAGGGCTTCTAAGCTGCTGCACTAATTGAGACAGCTGCTTCTTTCTTTTGGAGCCTTGAGCAGCCATGGAAAGAGAGGGAGCCTTAAAACCGAGATGCCGTGTGGAGAGACAGGCCACAGGAGGAGCACCGGGCCATCTGACTGTCTGAGACACCCCAGTGTGACCAGAAAAGGCACTGCCTGTGGACTCCCCAGCTGAGCCCTTGCCGACCCATGGAATAGTGAGATGCAATAAAATGGATGCTTCACATTACTGAATTTTGGGGTGGTGTGTTAGGCAGCAATAGATGAGGTCATTGAAACGATTAAAGGAGATAGTTTTCAAAGCGCTGAAGAGTGCACGGCTCCTGGGAAGTGTTTGGCACTTTGTACAAATTTGTGGAATAAAATTGAACAGGGACCTCTATAGGTGGATAGTGATAGAAATTGTGTAATGGACAAAAATGTATGATTAACCCCAATTCTTTGCCTCTGGTTTCCACAACTAAGATAAAAATAAGACCTCTGGCAGTTTGTATACTCATTTACTTGATAGAATAATAGTTTATCTAGAGTAAATAGTCCCAAAAGGCTCAAAAAGCAGAGTTCCTTCAAAGGAAGCAGCCCTCTCCAAGCTGATCGCCTTGTTGTCTTTGTGCTCAGAATTCAGAGCCTCCACGAAGACACTAGATGTATGAACTCAGTGACACAAGAGTCCTTCACTTCTGGGAACACAGACAACTGATGGACTATATTTGTTTTCCTCTGTAGCACTAGATTCAGAACTAGCAATTTTTTGTATCTGTGATGAATTCTCAATTAGCCATGAGCTCCATTCAGTATCAGAAAATGCAAGGATAACTGAAATCTACACATAATTCAAAGATCTCAATCAAGTCAGTAATTTCAACCTCCAGAAGCATCTCTTGCCATTCTTTTTACTCCCAAGCACAGTGTACTCAATAAATATCTGTTGATTATTTGAAATCAATCCTTCTTCTTTTTGAAAAGGATTTAAAAACGATTTGGTTATGGACCTTCCAGTCATTTATCAAAGTTGTTCGTCAAAACCCAAGCTAAGGCAAAATAGCTCAGACATCAGCAACGGTGAGCGGAAGGAAGGGGAGGGAAGGGATGCCACTCATTCATGAACTACTGGGAGCTAGGCCTTACGAATCTTTCAAGGACTATCGGAGGTAGTTATTATCCTCATTTAACAGAGGCAAAAAACTGAGGCTTAGATGGGTGTGGGGGTCACTTGGACACAACCCACAGCTGGGATGGTGCAGAGCCAGGCTTAGACCCAGGTCGTCGGACTCATGGCTGGTTCTCTCCTACCCTGTTGCCCTGGGAAGCAAAGAGTCAGAATCACCCCAGAGCAGCTACACTCAAGGGAAAGCTAATATGTCCCAAAGGCAACTCCCAGACCCAGAGACTTTTGCAAAGCCAAAAAGGGTAGACTGTAGAACACACCAGCCCCTGTGTTTCTGCAGAACCGACACGTTTTGGAGTGGGTTTGCAGTTGCCCGGGGATCACTGTTGAGAGTGCTGACATCTCAGACTTCAACCTCTGGGGCACTGGCCTCACACCGGCAGTCTGATGCATCCTCTGTGTGCTTGGCTGTGAGGGACGGCTGGTCCCCGCTGGTCTCAACCTCTTGTCCTAAAATAATCCCAAGCCCTGTCCCTACTTGCTGGCCCACCTCTCATCCCATGTAAGGCTTCAGAATCACAACGTATATTTATTTTCCAGCACTTGGGCTACAAGTTGTGTGGCTGATCTTCAGGTAGCTTCTGGGAACATTCCAGATTAAAGTGGAAAGGAAGCACCTGCCAATTTCCCTTCTTTAGGCCTTCGGACAGTCCCTGGAGAGGGTAGGCTGAAGACCAAGTTTTTGTGCATGCCGTGGTGCTGGTAGGGTGTCAGGAAAGGCCGAGATAGCCTCTTGCTGAGGAGCAGGTAGCTGGGCTGCCACGCTTCCATTTTCTCTTTTGGCTCCTCCAAGCCCCCAGCTGAGTTCCTTTCTCTGAAAATGAAATGACTGTGGCTGCAGGCCAGATGTAAGTGACATCTCAGGGCATGAAGAAGGAAACCAGGACCCAAAAGACAAAAGCAAGTAACTTCCAAGTCATGCTATTTATTTTCCCTTAATTGGGTTTTACATCTCATCTGACCTTCTGCTCAGCTCTCTGAGGAGCTGTAGAAGTGTGAGTACACTGGTGTTCTCTGTCCGCCACATGAGAGCACACAGGAACACACATGTGCACACACAGGGCAGGTCAGAGAATGTTGGACTTGCTTCAGTTGTTAGTTTCACCCTCTGGCTTTACTGTGACACACATTTGTCTCTACCTAATGTTCTCAAGAAAAACGGTTAGGACAGGATATGGCAAGGAGCGCAGATGAGAGGACTGTGTAAGAAGATGGTGGAGGGAAGCAGTGAACCACCAAGATCCTTTTCCTGCCCCTCCCCCAGTCTTTTCCCCACCTCATTCTTGATCTTCCAAAAGGAAAGAAGCAGAGTGCAAAGCTAGCAGGGCTGCCGGTGACTTTTGCAGGGATAGCAAAAGGTACCTTTTCTTCCGGACAGATGCAGCATGTCTTGGTGACAGATGTAGAGCCTCGACTGGAATCTGCACCTGCCTTGGGCCCCCTTGGCTGGTGCCTTGAGCATAAGCTCAGGTTCCCTAGTCTCTCTTACCTTGAACGACCACAGGGTTAAAAGGCCAAGAGTGCATGAAGTGTCTTCTAAGAACTTGCAGAATCCCAGATGGGCCCAGGTACTGGGGGAGTTCCCAGTTTCTCAAAAGGAGGTTCCAAGCTGGTAGCCTGGGGAGGGAGGCGCTGCAGTCCCTCTAGGCTTGCAGGAGTGGCCTATCCACCGCCCCACACGCAACCTACTCCTCGGATTTGGATTCTGCCTTATTTTCTCAGGATGGGGGTGCAAATAGGGGGAAAAGAGGCATGGCAGAGGGACAGCAATACTGCGCCAACCTTCCCAGCACAGAAGCAGCAGCAAGCTGCCAGGACCTGCTTGCCTGTGGGATTTTGCATCCTTATATCTCATTTCATGAACCACGACAGAGATTCTCTGCAGGTAGCCTCAACCGGAAATGGTCCTGGGAATCGATTGCTTCCTTAACTCATGGAAGAAGCAGGGAGGAGAAGGGGTATGGTCCTCTCATGAGTGTGCCATTCAGTCGAGAGGTGTCACTGGTGAACCTGGCTGCTCAGGGGCCAAGGCTGGGGGGACCTCATTTATCAACGATATTATAGGGCTGCTATTCACCAGCCACCAAGTTGGACTCTTGGCTCTGGAAATTTAATGTGTGACAGCTGTGTGCAGCCAGTGGTGTCCAGCATTTTAAAAAGGTCAATTAAGAAACGGTTGATGGTGGTGCCGCTAATGACAGCCCAGAGGGCCGAGCAGGGCCGAGTAAACAGAAGGGCTGAGACGTATATTACTGGAATTGAAGTGTCGAAGTGAAGCGTGGTGGGGAGGAAATCTATTGTCACAAGCCATAAAGCACATCTGAGTTTTGCGGCGGAGAGCAGTACAGCTGTTTCCCTCCCTGGCGGCGGCGGAGGCGGTGGCGGCGACGGCGCGGGGAACAGTCCGTGAGTAAAGGCTCCGCAGACAAAGGCAACACCTGCATCAGCTTGATCAATCTGCAGACAAAAATCGTTACCCTCCTCATTGCCTGTTCCTTTGCACTTTCTGTTCTCCCACATGGGGAGCATAAGGCAGACGCTGGAGTGATATTCAGAATGTGGGTCGTGTTCTAGAAATCCATATTTTAAGCCTTCGCCAAAGCTTGGCTCCTTCTGCCCCCCTCCGCGTGTGGGCGGGCAGACGGCAGGAGCAAGTATCTTCCTCAGACGACGCATCTGCTCCCTGACTTCAGTGGGCACACAAACGCAGGGTACAGTCTATGTTATTTTATGCCCTTTGCACTACGACAGATAAAAGAGGGACATGAAGCCCTTACAAAGTCTATTTCAGCCTGTGACAGACTGGCTCCTTGTTGGGGGAAGGTGCTGTGTGGGGCTCTGTCCTCTGACAAAGGGGTCTTACAGGGCTGGGACAGGATTTTTTATTTTATTTTTTATTTTTTTGGCGCCACATCTACCTGTCAAACTGGAAATGCAATAGAGCAATGAGAATGCTAATTGATATGCAAAACAGGTCCAGGGTTCCTAGAAATGTCTAATGATCCTCCGAGTCACTGTGAATGCAGAATTAAGACATGCACCAAATGAGAAAGGAGTAAAAACACCAACCCTTTTCCTTTTTCAAATCTACTTTGGGAAACTTCACAGGTTTTATAATTAAAAATAAAAGTATAGCAATCAGTAGGGTTTGTCTTTCACACACTGGGTATTTATTATTAGAAAATAGCTTCTATCAGCTGTCAGTACCAAACAAGTTGACAGGAGCGTGCTTCTCACCATCTTTATTTTTTTCTCTTTAATGAAATTTAAATAAACAGCTCACTGTGGGGAGAATTGCCACACCTTTTTCCTTTGAAGTCTGAATAATTAAATGAGGTTTAGTACAAAACATCCTTCAAATATGACTTGGTCTGTAGTTGTTATGCTCTCCCCTTGAGTACGGGACATGAAAGAGATGAAAAAGACCACTTAAGCTATCAAACGACCCCAAAGAATCTGTAGTAGAAACCGGCAACAAATAAACTAAACCAAACAAAACCCATCCAAACCAAGAAACCAGTTTTAACATTGGCTTTTTGATTTTGATTATCATCTAAGTTTAATATATATATATATATTTTTGAAATAGTAATAAAAAAGGAAGAATTGAATTGCATCCTTAGCAGGACAACCTTCCTCATATGTTAAAGAGGTGTTCAGAAAATTCCATACAGTATCTGCTAAATAAACATGTTTGGCAGCTTAGCAAATATCATATGATTGCAGCATCCATGATTTGAAGTAAAACAGCATTTGCTTTCTTCTGGCAGAATTCGTTGCTCGAGACGATGTGCTAATATGGCTCTGGATGTTCTTAGATCCACGGGCTTAAGGGTTGGGGTGGCTCAGTGCACGGCCCCAGTGCAGAAACTTCCAAACCCGAACAACGAAATCAACCAACCACACAAATGTCAGACAATTGTCTCCTTTGAGTTCCTCTTGACAGAATGGAGGCCCAGCAGCGACTGCTGGTTAGAAGGTACGTTGACAGACTTTGGAATGAGGAGAATCACCCTTTGATTGGTCCGACGCCATTCGTTGTACAATCGACAGTGGTACCTAAATGACACCTGGCGGTAGGAGAGGGAAAATAAGGGAAGGTTTCAGGTAAGCAGACGCTGACAATCAATCCAAGAAACAAACATGCCATTGAAAACAGCTCTAAACAGGCAGCAGCAAGCAGTACAGCAGGGCGAGGACCCTGGGTGAACTGCGCTGGCAAGCTCTGTGTTGGGATATCGGGCACCAAGCAAAGAGCACCCAAGTGTGAACACCTGGGAACGGCTTGCAGAGTGGCTTCCTTCATTCCTCCTCATGTTGGGTAAAATCAGGGCATCTATAGGAACTAAGGTTTCTTCTGAGTTATTTTGGGGATAGTGCTGTTTAGGTCCCAAAGCATCTGTGAAGGAGCTGGCTGGGAGCAGTGGGCAGAGTGGTCATAGCACCAGCCCTTCCCCAGCTGTGGGACCAGGCAAAGTGCCTTTTCAGTCCTCAGGTTTCTCTCTGTGATGTGGGAGAGATGCTAGGGCTTCATGTGCCTTTCTGCAGGTGAGCCGCTGCACAATTAAAAGGACTCCACTCACACTGACTGGGACAGGAAGGGCATTTTTGTCCTGTGTGGCGGACAAGCTGCAAAACTGTACTGGGTGGCCTTGATCGGGGGGCCCCAATTGCCTCCAGCCCCAATATTCTATGGCTCCCGGGGGGGAAGCTTCGGCATGGGCAACAAACAGATTAGTCCCCTAATCAGTTCTTTTTGAGCCACAGGGCCTTGTGCTGACCTTAGCATGGCACCACGTGCCCTGTGTCAGCGTGCTTGCTTTTTTCTCCCCGGCACAGAAGCACCTTGAGAGCAGGGCTTGTGTTGTTTTCATCTTTACATGCCCTGCGCCTGTCACAGTGCCTGGCGCTGAGAAGTCTCTAGGCAGAGTTTGCTGAGTGAACGGGTGAGTGAATAAATATCCTCTGCTTTTGAATTGCAACACCGCTTAAAATTTAAACCTCTCTTATACAAGCACAACAGTATGAACAGTAAACCTGTGGCTAATTTTGACACACCTGTGCCCCAAAAGTGCTTGCTTCTTATGTAAATACACTTGAATGAGATGATTACACGTGTAGTTTGTTTTGGAGAAGCCTAGCATAAAGCACTGGTGGACTTCCCAGAAAATTCAGAATTTCATCTGTACTTTTGAAGGTGTACAAACTGCCTTTAAAAATGGGGACAGGATCCAGTTTGAGCATATTCAAATGACTAGGTGTTGGGAAAGAAGGTGCCCGTGGGCTCGCATGGCTGTTCAGCCCTCTGGGGTGGGTAGATTGTGTTGACCCCAGTACAGGTCAGAGAGTGGCTGACCCAGTGGTTTGAGGTTAGCGTTTGCAGAAGTGAAGGAGAGTGCAGGTCCTTGATCAGAAAGGGCTTGTTAGTCTTCATGGCAGGATCATGAAATTCAAGGCCACTCGCTCAAATTTCTGAGGCTCGAAAGCAAATGCCACAGGCTGAGTGCCAGAGAGATTTGGGTATGAAAATATAAGCTTTTAAACTCACACAGATGTGCTTTTCTCCAAAGGCCCTGAACATGCCAGAGCGGATCAGGGATTTTTTTCTTTTCCTTTTTTTTAAAGCTTGATTCTCTTTTATCTATTCTGTCCTGCTGTTGCTTGGTGCTACTCACGAATGTAAGAGAGGCAGGTTGGAAAGCCTGCTGTTCAGGGCCAAGGGCAGGGAAGAGGTAGAACACAGACAAGTACTAATGAAGAGCTTTGGCAGTACAAGAAGTCTGGAATCTGGAAATACTACAGGAGAGTCGAATTTCAAATCAAGAGTCCTTTCATTCATGATGCTAAAGAGCCGCACATGCTTGGCATTAGTAAGCAGAGAATTAACTGTGGGTATGGGAGGCCAGCACCTTCTTCTGCAGGGTAGGGAGCAGGCCTTGGGCTCTGGGGCCAGGCACATGGGGCCTGAATCCCCATCCTCCATTTAGTGGCTCCGTGACTTTGGGAGGGTTGCTCGCTATCTCCAAGTTTCAGTTCCTTGGTTTGTAAAATGTGAATAACGATATCCGAGATAATGCATAAAAAGCACTTAGCACAGGGAATATAGTCACTAATATTGTAATAACTATGCATGGTGTCAGATGGGTACGAGACTTATCAGAATGACCACTTTATAAGTTATACAAGGTGGGACAAAAATAGGTTTACAGTTGTGAGTATGCAAAACACAGAATTTATTCTTGTATTATTAATTATTGTATTATTTCCCATACAAATAACTGTAAACCTACTAATGCCCCAACCTGTATAAACTCTAATCACTGTTATACACTTGAAATTAATAATATTGTAGGTCAACTGTAAATGAAAAACAAAAAAAAATTTAAAAAAGCACAGTGCACTGCCTCACACACAGGTTAATGTTCTTGGCCTGTTATTTTTGATGTATTAAGTATGGAAAAGATGACAATTCTGTGACACTCCTGCTTAGATATAGGAAATGGGGAGGGGGCCAGGAAAGAGGTTGGGCTATCTCCTTTAATGATGCTCTCCGTGTGGTGTAGGGTCAGCCTGTATCACCTGGGAGCTTGTTAGAATATCAGAATTTTGGGCTCTTCCCAGACTTAAGGAATCAGAGCATGCCTCTTAACAAGCCCTCCAGGTGACTGGCACACACATCCCAGCCTGAGAAGTGCTGCTTCAAGGAACACAGGGCATCCACAACTTAGCTGGTCTCCTGGATTCTCAGCCAGGAAGTCCAACCATCAACACACTTGTTCAGACAAACACATGAGATCTTATTATGCATTAATCTATCTTAAGTGCTATTAACTACCACAGGTTGCAGGCAAATCCAATTAATAAGAAAGCATCATGTGCAGATGACTCCATATGAGAGAAAATAAAGGAAGTTGGGCATGGTGCAGAATGGATCACTGTGCACAACTGCCCAGGTGAATGCTGGCTCCTGTCTCTAAGAGCTCCCTCCCCGCAATGGAGTAGAGAAAGCAAATGGAGATTTGATTTAGAGAAATAAAGAGATAATGAGATGAAAATAAACATAAACCAAAGAAAGCTATAGCAGTAGGAACATTGGGGACTTTGTTCATGTATTTCTGAAATTTCCAAGATTTTGAGGAGGAGGAAGAAAGGGCACAGGGCCACTATTCTAATAAAACTACCCCTCCTATGAGGGTTTCTTGAAGTGCATTCATTTCGTCATCCAAAGGATATTTATTCACCTCCAGTCATGGGTAAGGTCTGGACTGAGTTGTGATCACGTGGCTGGCACAAGGAGAGGTCTCCACCTTTTCCGGTCAGAGAGGTAACAGGCTGTTTGCTCAATGTTTGTTGTAAAGTCGCAGGAGGCCTTGGGAAATCTTATTATGCATTTTTATTCTGCTCTTTCTCTCTGGAGGAGGTTATTGTGTGACTGTGAGTTTATCAACGGGGCCAGAGCTTTGTGAGTTGCCTTTTCAGAGATGGGCTCAGCTCTCTGATTGCATCACAACAAAGGAGGACTGAGTGGGCGTACATCAGCGGGGGAAACGCCGGGCCAGGATCACACCGCACACCCTCAGGCTGCACTGCCGCAGGCCCGTGGGCGTTTGTCCAAACGGCACAGCAAACCTTGTGGGGACAGTATCCTATGACAGGTTTTTCCTTTTTATAATGAGAATTTAAATGACTAGCCCATGGGACCGGGAGTTGGCTAGGAGATTCAAAGTGTTCTTTCATTTCGCTCTGTGATGGGACCAAAGTTTCTGTGTTGGGCACCGGTTGCATTAGTGACCCAGTGCTTGGAAGGACTTCCTGCGGTCACTGAACTGTGGTGCCCTCATTCTTGCACCTCTATGGACAATTTCTTATTTATTTATTTATTTTTAGAGATGGGGGGAAAGGAAGAGAGAGAGGGAGAGAAACATTAATGTGCAAGAGATACATCGATTATTTGCCTCTTGCATGCCCCCAGCTGGGGTCCTGGCCAGCAACCCAGACATGTGCCCTGACTGGGAATTGAACCAGTGGCCTTTCAGTTCGCAGGCAGGCACTCAGTCCACTGAGCCACATCAGCCAGGGCATCTATGCACAACTTCTTAATACTTAATGTGGACTCAGTTCTCAGCTGGCTCTCTTCGTGTCTGTCCATGGACTTCAAATGAAGTTTGTAACATGAACAGTGATGTTCCTGGGACACCCCTTTGTGAGCTCTCAGAGTGGAGGTGGAGGCCCAGCCTTGGCTTCCTGGGTCCCAGCTGCTTGTGTTTCCACACAGCAGGTTCCAAAAGGCGGAACGCCCCAAGTCTGTGTCAAGGTCAGGTTGCCCTGTGAGTGGGCGAAGAACTGCAAAGGCATTTTTAGGCGCACAGCATGGATGAGTGTCCCTCCTCATCGGACCCGCGAGGCCCTTCCAGAAGGCTCCTCTAAGGAGCAGGGCTGGGACTGACACCGTGTTTGTTTATCTAAGACATTTTCACAGCATATTTTCCTTAAGCTTGACAGCTTGTTTACAATGGGTTTCTGCTGGAGGGCAGTTTCCAAGTGCTGTCACTTTCTGAATTACAGCTCTTGCCAGGGCAGCTCGGTACAGCATTTATCTGGGAAGGAGTTAGTCCAGCTTCAGTAACCTATTGCTGAGCTGACACTGCAGCACGGTTTTCACACCAGTCCAAGGGCCAGCTGCTCTGCATTTTACAGAGTGCTGGTAGGGGGCTGGAGTTGGGGGAGAATGGAAGTCACCGAAGAAAACCAGGGTGCCTATGCTAGGTGCTCTGATACATGTTCCCACGTTATCCCACCTAATCCTCACAATAGCCCATTGACCCAGGGGTTATCAATCATTTCCTCCATTTTTTTGCGTAAGAGGAAGGATGATCAGAGAGGTTAAGTACACTGTTTAAAGTTACACAGCTATTAGGATGCTAAATCTTGGGGTCAAACACAGGGCCTTTGGATTCTAAACACATGCGCTTTTTACTAGGCTGCACTGGCTCTTGGAAACATTTCTGGAATGAAGTATATTATCTCTCTCCTGAAAGAGATGACTCCGGGTACCTTTCCCACCCAAACTTTCCTTTCATCTAAAATAGGAGATCAAACAGGGTCACATCCATTTTTCTTTACATAATTTTTCTTCCTTTACTTCCTTTCTTCCTTCCAGCCTCCTCCCCGCCTTTCTTGTTAGGTAAGTGGATGCTTTACAAAGCTGGTTTTTAAAAAGGCCTTCAACTGGTTTAAAAGCTAGTATTCAAGTCTATACCTTCATTTTAGGAACTCTTTTAAGAAAAGTGGTAGACAAGTAAACCTCTAATCATGGTAAAAAAAATATTTTCCAAAGTATTTCCCCCTGCACTCTTTCATGTTAATCTGACAGCAGCAGGGGAAGTTGGCAGGGTGGGTGTTATTACCATTCCCACTGTACAGATGGGAACACTGAGGCACAGAGCAGCGGAATGACTTTAGATGGTGCCAGCTAGGCTCTTTAACTTCCTCTTTCTCTCCTCATCACAGTGTCCTTGTGACTTCTGAGCCAGCTTCATTGCTTGATTAACAATGAATTAGGACACACTTTGGGAGCATAGACTTTTTAAGGAGGCAACAATGGTTTTGTTTGGGGGCTTTGTTAGGCTGGGAACAGAATGCCTAGACTAACCAGAAGACTCAGCTCTCGTCTGAAGCATCACAACACTCTCTGTTTACCAAGGCTCAAATCAGGTCCTTCTTACTGAGGTTAGAGTATGTCCCCTACTTACTGTCTGAGCACTCTCACTTGAGGGGAGGTACACGAGGGAAATGAGCGGGGGTCCTGGTCAGTGTGGTAGGGGTGGCCCCTGGTCGGTGGTCAGGGCTGGGGAGGAAACGTGAGCAATGGAAGCTTCCGCATGCTGACGCTGTGCTATGGGATACGGGAATAGTACACTTCAGACAGGAAATACATATTGAATAACAATGAAATGTGCTCAGATTAGAAACAAGCAGGCACAGAAGAGGCATGCCAGGAAGACGGGCCCCGGTTTCTGAAAATATTCTAGATAGTGACATTTTTCTCTGCAGGTCCCAGAGGAGAGCACAGAGATCAAATGCTGCACTTTGTGGGTGCTGCCAACTGGGGCCTGGGCAATCAACTTCCTTCATAAGTTAAAAGAATGAAAACAACAGAGATGTTTAAAAATTCTTCCTCCTATACCGCGGGAACACTTACTGGGAAATAGTTTTCCTTTGGTGGCAGCTTCTGAGCTAGATAAATTAGTGTTTTTATGGGCAGCAGAGTCAGTATCCCAACACACAGAATAATCAGGCACTGAGCAGCCCCGCGCCCAGTAAGGACTATAGGCCGTGGTCAGGACATTAGAAGAAGGTGACCAGCAGGAGGATTCATAGTTTGGGCAGGCAGCGACAGCAGCAGTGGCCACGTCATCACTCCTAATATACTATGATCCCAGCAAAAGCGAGGAACATAAGCAAGAGAAGGAAAACGCCATGCCTCATAACAGATGGAGCCTAAACTACCAGAGGAGAGAAATGTCCAGGGTGTGTGTCTTTGACTGATGGGCTCTCAGAAGCTGGGGCTTTTTCTTTACTTGATCTGCTCTTCCCAGCAGCACGTGTCTGCTCACGAGTCACGCGCGCGCGCACACACTCACATGTAGCAACAGACCAAATCCCACACTCTCGCCAGCCTGAACCAGGCAGGTGAGACGTGATACAGGCAAGCTGAGCCAGCAGTGGGGCTGCCAGCTCCAGCTGGCCTGAATCCCTGGGGCTGTGGGCCATACTTACTAGTGTCCAAAAGAGGTAAATAGTGAAGAGTGCGACAGTGAGTGCAATCAGTCCGACGGCTTCAAGCCGACTACTAAAGTGCAGGTGGTCCACGGCGCCCCGCAGGCAGAGCCAGCCTGAGATGGTGGCCAGGGGAGTTATGAACAAGAAGCACACCATGTCTCCAAAAAGAGTCCGCTTCTCATGCTGGGGGCCTGGGTTTCTCAGCCACTGCCAAGGAGAAAGAGAGAGAGAAAGACAGGACATGGTTAAACCCCAGACAGAGTGGAGTCACATGACCCTGAAGTTGTCTTTATCTTTGGGAATCTGGAAAAACACACTTCTGACTTAGTTCTGAGATCACAAGGGAGCATTAAGGGCTCATTCCCATGCCTCCACCCCCGGAACAATAGTGATTATGATAATAATATGACAATAGTGATTATGATAATGATGATGATGATAATAAAAATGTGTCCTTGCTGCAGATGGCCAGCTGTTTTTTAAAATAGTTCAGTGGTTATTATTATAAATCACAATGAGTCTATGTGGAAGGTAGAGAGGATGTTATTTTTGGAAGGTAATAGATGAGGTGCCAGAAGGGCTCCAATGTGGCCAAAGCCTTCCAGTGTCTTGATCCAGGGAGTGTGAGCAGGAAGGGGTTAACCCAGCAGGCCTGGATTGCTCAATTCCTGCCCATTCCCAAGAAAGACCTGTTTGCAAGACTGGATCCAAGGGGATGAGCTCTGAGTCCTTGTAATATTCTGCCTGATGAACGTTTTGTATGCCTGAGGCATTGGGCCTCAGGGTACCAGTGTAATCAGATAGCTTATGCCAACAATGTGATTTATGCTGAACACCTATTTTTGCCCCCGGGGGTTGGAGCCTGAGTGCTGAGGTTAGTCATGCGGGCGCTGCTTGCCTATGCGACTGACCCCAGTAAACACGGCCGGCACCAAGGCTCCGGTGAGTTTCCCTGGTTGGTAACGCTTTGTATGTGCTGTTACAATTTGTTGCTGGAAAAATTAAGCACAGAGTAATGTGTGACACTACTGGGAGGGGACACCTGGGAGCTTGTGCATGGTTTCTGCTAGGCTTTGCCCCATGCACCTTTTCCCTCTGCTGATTTTAATTGGTATCCTTTTGCTTTAATAAACCATATAATCACCAGTATAAGAGCTTTTTTGAGTCCTGTGAGTCCTAGTGAATCACTGAGCCTGAGGATGGTCTTGGGGACCACCCACATACAGAGACTCACCTGAGTCATGAAGTCAGTAATGTCCTCTCCCTCATGTTTTAGGGCTCTGGACCTCCTACTCTTGACTGTCCCAGACATTTTAATTAGGCTACCATCTTGATTGACCCAACCTCAAAAAGGATGGGGAGAATTTTGTGCTCGTTTAACGACTAGAGCTGAGAATTCCTAGAGGACAGAGTTGCTGAACTCCCACTTGGGAAACTGCTGAATATCTGCTGAAATGTTCTGCATAATATATTCTAGAAAAAAATCACGCTTACATATTGGTGTCAGTGTATATTTCTACAACGAGGCCTGGTGGCTTCAGATTAGTATTGAAACATGTCCTCAATCTGACATTCTTGTATCACCGTCCCATGTAATAGTGAGAGAGACCGTGGGTTCCGGAGAAGGAGTGGGGTCAAACGCAGGCAATGGGGTGGGGTGGGGTGGGGTGGGGAGGGACACTGGCGGCTCCATCTTGCCAACGAGATGTAGGATTTGTTGTCCTACCAACAAATGGAGAGGCCTAGAAGTGCTGTGGGCTGGCCCCCAAGTGGGAGCGCTATGGGTCACTGAGCAGACACCCCAAGTGGCCACGGCAACAACCTTCACAAATCCACTCGTGGGAAGCACAGGACCATGACAGAGAAGACAAGAGAGGGCAGGGCTGACTGGGGAGAGAAGGGAATGTCATGCTCAAGGGTGTTAGGAAGAGACAAAAGAGCTGCAAAAGGGCAAGCAAGTTGAAAGAGCCGTGTTAGGACCAACAAAAGACTCAAGGAGTGAAAAGACTCAAGGAGTGAGCAGAAGAGACAGGTGGTAAAAGGCACAGAAGAAATTATTCTGGGAGATGCCCTTCCTTGCATGTTTGTGTGAGGCAAATACTGGATGACCAGGAATGCCCAACATGGCACTCTCCAGTAACAAGCCATCTTAAAAGGAGCTGGGATGCTGACAGAGGTCACCTCAGCTCAAAAATGGATCCAATGAAATATTTAAAAATAGATAAAGGGGAGTCAACTTGCCTGTGAATATAAAGTATAAAAAAATTAAAATAAATACCAAAATGATCAAGTGCAAATGTGTTGGAATGCTACCTCAGACATTCCAGCAGCATCAAAGAAATTTTAAAAACTCTTAATGAACGTTTTTCTTGCTTAAACGCTAGGAAGTAGGGAGTAGAAATTGGGTATTTTTATCTAGATTTTACAGAGGCTCAGCAAGGTTAACCGATTGCTCCAGGTGATTCAGAGGTCAAAGTGAAAAGGGGATCAGGGTCTTGCTTATTTTTCATGATTTTCTAAATGAACATGGATTGCTCAGATGTCTAATCAGTAAATATTTGAAAGTTAAAGTTGTAAGATATTCAGAAATGCAGATTCTTATACAGTGGTGCCCAAATTGCAGCAACCTGACTCCACTTACAATTTAGACTGTCTCTAGAAGCAGCTCTGGAAGCCTGGACTACTTTTTCTGGCTATGTTGGAACACAGTAGGTTCTCAATAACTGTAACAGATGCTCACAGACAAGCTGACATCACTGGCCAAGACTTCCTCCAATTTCTTTTGCTTGTGAATTCTGAATACTTTTTATTAAAAATAATTTAGCACTTTACTTATCTATGTGGCCTTTGACATTACCAATGAAATAACTCAGGTATGGAAGGAGGTAATTATGAATCACTACTTACCTCTGTCTGATTTAAAGTAAATTGGAAAGGCAAATTAGAAATTACTATTGCTTGTTCCCAGTTTCTTATTTCCTAATTATTTTTTGATTTTCTATATTCCTGAAAAATTTCCAGGCCATTTTATATGCACATGACCACCCAATACCAAGGTTCCACACCTTATGAACATTATATATGTATTCTTGGCTTAGCTTATTCTTTGTGTTGTCTGCTGCTGGGTCATATTTAGGTATGAAGTTCTTTAAACAGGTACTATTATGTTATTATCTGGGACTTCTTCAGAACCCCAAGAAGTATTTATCTCTTAGGTAAATGCAGCCCACTGAAACAAGACCAGTGGTAACAATATCTGTTGTTGAGAAAAAAGAATTGCCCTGTGCCATGGTAAGAAACTCTGCTAAAGATCCAAGTAGGCTGACAAAGGATATTTATACAAGCAGAGTTTATGAGAGAAAAAAATATGATTATACCTCATATTTCCAGCAAGAGGGGATGGTCTAAATAAATTATGGAATTTACTGAAAATAGAATACTATAGAGTAATTTCTAATGATACCGTACAGTTTATATTTACTGACATATTTGCTGACATGAGCAGGAAAAGAATTCTACTGAATAAAATGTGAAGTGTGATCCTGTGTATGTAATTATATATTTACATACACATTGACATTAACATTTACATAGATGTAGTGGATTCACACAGATGCAGACCAGCAAACCCAGCAAAACCTTGCAGCCACTATGGAAAACAATATGGAGAAGCCTCAAAAATTAAAAATAGAACAACCTTATGGCCCAGCAATTCCACTTCAGGGTACTTATCCAAAGAAATCCAAAACACTAATTCAAAAAGATACATGTACCCCTATGTTCCGTGCAGCATTATTTACAATAGCCAAGATATGGAAGCAACCTAAATGCCCATGAATAGATGACTGGATAAAGAAGAGGTACATATATATATATACAATGGGATATTACTTGGCCACAAAAAAGAATGAAATTTTGCCATTTGCAACAACGTGGATGGGCCTAGAGGGTATTATGTTAAGTGAAATAAGTCAGAAAGAGAAAGATAAATACCTTATCATTACCCTTATAGATGGAATCTAAAAAACAATCAAATAAACAAAACAGAAACTCATAGATAGAACAAACTGATGATTGTCAGATGGAGGAAGTTTGAAAAAGAGGAAGGGATTAAGAGGTACAAACTACCAGTTATAAAAACAGTTATAGGGATGTAAATGGAATGTAATCAATAATATTGTAATATCTACATATGGCGTCAAATGGTACTGAACTTATTGGGGTGATCACTGAGTAAGTTACATAAATGTGTAATCACTATATTGCACACCTGAAAACAATACAATATTGTATGTCAATGGTAATTGAAAAATAAAAAATTAAAAAAAGAAAACTAGCAATTATGAATGGTCTTTAATTTTTATCTTTTTATGCATTTTATCTACAATGAACATGGGTTATCTGTATAAATACATATTGTATATTAGTTGTGTATGAAACACTGTGAGGAGGCGGGGAGGTCCACCGTCTGGGTGTTTATTTCAATCCCAGCTACACAAGGTTTGTCCAGAAAGTATCCAGCCACACACTATGCAAAATAGAGACATTTATTGAAGAAGATACAAAATACAAGAAACGCTGCACATAGGACGATGACATCTTGGTCCCCTTCAAAATAGGCACCTTGGGACCTCACACAGTTCTCCCAGCTTCTCTTCCAGTGTTCAAAACACTCTGCAAAATCCTTTGTTGGAATTGCCATCAACTGCCCTGTCGTATTTTCCTGAATCTCATCAATAGTCTCATATCTCTTCCCTTTCAAAGGTGGTTTTAGTTTCAGGAAAAGCCAGAAGTTGCAGGGCACCAAATCTGGGCTGCAGGGAGGCTGGGCATTTTGAGGTTTTGCCAAAAAACTCTGCACAACACATGATGCATGAGCAGGCACATTGTTGTGATGAAGGTGCCAATCACCAGTTGCCCATAGCTATGGCCGTTTTTGTCGTATTGCATCTCTCAGCCGACGAAGAACACTGAGGTGATACTCCTTACTAACTGTTTGGCCTAGAAGGGCATACTGGTGATGGAAAAACACCTTCTCAATCAGTTAACATGGTCTTGATCTTGCTGCAACTTTGCTGTACCTTCTTCTGGCAAGGAGAATCGGGGGTTTCCACTGGGACAACTGGGACTTTGTTTCTGGGTCATAGCCATAGACACACAATTCACCTCCTGTTACGATCTTCTTGAACAAATCTGGTTCACTGGTA